GGGCCGACAGTACACGGGATCGACGAAACAATATATTTTTATATTATTAATTATGTTATTCTTATCACTATATACATTACTAATACACCGTATAAGTTAATAACACAGCATACGATACAAATATCGGTAACATGAAATTAGAATTTAAGGTAGAGCGATTAATTTCAGAAAAAAGGGACTCTTTTTACTTTCCCTACCCCATCCCCCGAAAAAATTGCATTTCAAACGTAATTATAAAGACTATAAATATAATTTTTTTTTTCGCAATAATTGTTTATATTTTTAATATTTCTTAAATTTAATTTGTTTCTCTTTTACGCATAATAATATGGAAAGAATGAGATTAAAACGAGACTATTTTTTAGAAACGGGATAAAAAGTGTTTCATTTTTATTTTATCAAGACAACGGGAAATGATTATCAAAAGAGGGACAATCCAGTGTAAACGGAATATATGTTCATCTTAACGAGGAATGTATTATTTTATTTGCGTTATATTTTTATTTATTTTTAGTCTGTATACACGATTTAAACCAGGATATTTGCTGCAATCATCATAATTATAGGAGATTACCAATAAAAAAAAGTTGTTTTATTGAAGTATCAATAGTTTTGTGAATTTTCCTACAGTTTTTTAATTTTTAATAAAAACTGAGGAAAATCTAAAAAAGAAAACGGCAACACTTATATTTTAAATTGTAATTTATTTACAATTTCGATGAATTTTTTCCAAAACTTTCAGTAGAATAATTTTTGTTTAACAAAAAGTTTTAAAGACTTAATACAGAGTTTCTCATACATATTTATTATTGGTTAAAGAAAAAAATTGAGCTTAATTCAAAAAAAAAGTTTATGAGCGTTTGAATATTAAATTTTAACAAACGATAAAATCACAAAAATCTGCTACATTTTGGTAGTTGACTAATCATAAAGTTTTTTACTTTTATAGTCAAAGCTTGAAATTTGAATATAAAATTTTTCGTAGGTTTTTGTTTGTAACCAAAAATAAAAAAAATAGATACCTACTGGAAAGTCACAAAACTATTTAAACGAGTTACAAAATAGGATATTTCAATGAATTTCCAACAAACGATAATAGTTATTTTTATTATTTAATAGTGTCGAATTATTTTAATAAAGTTTGTGCTGATTGTAGACACTTGAAATTTTTTATTTTTTTAAATCGATGCCCTCTTGCAGTTGTTGTGAAAGTTAGAATATGAAAAGTTTAACATTCCTTATTAAAAAATATTGAATTAATTTAGAACTAATTCACTCAATCTCTTTAATTCACAATCGTTTTTTGTAGAGCAATAATGTAATGGTTTCAATTTTAAAAGACCAATTTAGTAATAACTATCGTCCATTCGTGTATCATCCCTAACCGTGGTGTATAGTATAACCAAAAAGTTTCAAATTTTTATTATTGTGTACTTTAAAGACAGGAAAAGTATAAGATTCATCAGTTTTAACATTGTACGGTTTTACTACAAACATAAATAAATTCGTTTATTTAGGTACTTGTAGGGACGAATTCTCCATCACATCTAAACACACTAGCCTATTAAGTATACAATAGTCTTTGAGTTAAGTTTAAATCTGCTTTTCAAAGTCATGACTGCAAGGACGAGTAAATTGTTGTTAATTGCTAGGAATTGTTATTTTCAAGCAATGGGTTTGTAATTTAATATTTAAAATTTCAATACGTGTATAAATATTATAATAATTGAATGCAAAAAGAACTTGGATCGCTAGTAGCTAATTAGATAACATTATTCGTGGGGACCATTAATTCAATTAAAATGACGTTGAATCGTGAACTATGTACGGCACGTCGAGTAGCCTTCGATTTCAACACAGACGTTATTGTCGAACCGAATCGCATGAAAACAGTACGATCATATTGTGGGCGTAGAGACTTTATAAGCATACCAAAATCTCTCTCAACAGAGTGTACTAATGCGAGTATACCTACTATTATGCCGAACCATATCAGCAGAAGGATGTTTCCAATATAGATTGTCATCGAAACACATAGTACGAACTTAGACGTGCGACTTATTGCAGACATCGCGAATGCTACGTAAGGCGGAATCGCGTGGGACCTATATGTAAATAATACTTCGTTACGCAGACAAGTCTCTCCGGCGGTGATGTCGATGGTATGCCGTAGTGATATCTGTGGGGACGAATCAAATTTCCATCGACGTCATTTTTCTGCGTTCTGCTTTCGGACGGATTTCATTTGATCGTAATTTTGTACGTATTATTACAATTGACGCATAGTACGCGACGGTGTAACAGGCGATTATTACCCCCCCAACATTTTTACCGGGGGGGTAATAATCGCCTGAGGTAATAATCGCCTACAGCAACAGGCGATTATTACCCCCCTTAAGGGTGCGACAAATTTAATAACGCGGACACGAGTGTTCGAATCGGTGAATCTAGGAAAAACATCTTAATGTAAAAAAAGATCGTCAAATGTATTTTACTTTAAAATTCCAAATATTTTAAGTCAAATGTTAAGTTAAATAAGTATATAATAATAAAAATAAATCATAGATATAGAATAATATATGCTATTACTATTAAAAAAATTGGTAAACCTCTTTCCCTAATTAAATATTTTCCTCATAATTTTTTAAGTTTATTCTGTAATTTGACATATATTTTTATTGTATTTTTTTAATAAACTCTGAAATGTACACAGGCTTTAGACAATAAACTCTAAATTTAAATCTATAATTGGTTTGAGTTTTCGTTATTTTTAGATACGGATAATCGTTGTTTTTGAGGGCCTACCCAAAACAATGTATATGAACGTATACAGAATGTATATTAGATATATTATACATTTTTCTACTTAATTTACAAATTATAACAACTATTATAACATTTGAAACATACTATATCATGTAATATAATTACTTTGCCACTAGTTTCATTTAATTTATTTCATTTAGCGTTATCTACGAAACTATAACGAATGCCTGTATATTTTATTATATGTTTGGATATATAATATATAACATGTGTGTATACTGTCCAAGTATTTTATGCATAAAATGTTATTCAATTTTCTGAATTAATAGAGTAATGCTTCTAATGCCAATGACGCTTAAACGCATCACAGTATAAATAACGCGAGCTGCGGTATAACTGCCAATATCACGGGCGGCGTTGAAAGTGTTAAAAATATTTTAATAAAATATTTAACAGCAATTATTTTAATAACTTTTAGCCAAAATTAACGTTTTTCAACTTGTCGTTTATTGCTGTGTCATTTTTTTACCAGTCGATTTTTACTGATTACCGAATCACTCCATGTGTTTCTTATTAACAGTTAATTACTTTCACCTCTATTCAATATGCCTATATATGTATTATTTATAATAATATTATCATGACAAGAAAACTAAAACTAATAATACTACAATAGGTATCTGTTTTTCAAAAACAAACGAGTAAATATAAACATAAGCATAAAAAGTAGGTCACGGGGAGGTTATTAGTATATGACACCTTCGTCATCCCCCCGGGGGCTCAACCTTAAGGGGGGGTAATAATCGCCTGTTACTGTAGGCGATTATTACCTCAGGCGATTATTACCCCCCGGTAAAAATTATTACCCCCCTCCCCGGTAATAATATAGGGGGTAATAATCGCCTGTGACAACGGGATAACCGTGTACCGTAAACCGTCTACATATTGTACCGCATTTCCTACCACGACGACGTACCAAGTATAGTGAAACCACACGATACCCCAAACAATCACGGGTCTTAGGCTATGCAGATGCCCATGGGCACCTTGAGCTTCGGGATTTTTTTAGTAAGCCAAAAAAAGGCGAGTAAAAACATCAAAAGCTTATTTTGTATGATGACTTTTGTGCAGCCGAAAGATGTGAGTTATTAATTTTAACGAAAAATCTTTTGAAATAATGGGATGAAAAATAACATTTACCTAATGCAATGGCATACAATTAAGCGTTCATCGTTTATTTGAACTTACTGTTTATCAAATTTTTTTTTTCTGTTATTAAGAATTTTTTTTATTTTTATAGGCAGTTGTATTATATGTTAGAGATTAAAATTAAAATTTGTAATTTCTATTATT